CCTGAACCCTAAACCCTAAACCCTAACCTTCAGGTCCCAAATCTGAATCGGTTTTTGGCACCTGAACCCCGGACCAGGTTTAGGGTTTGGGGTTTAGGGTTTCGGGTTTAGGGTTTCGGGTTTAGGATTTCGAGTTTAGGATTTCGGGTTTAGGATTTCGGGTTTAGGATGTCGGGTTTAGGATTTCGGGTTTAGGATTTCGGGTTTAGGATTTCGGGTTCAGGGACAAGTTACATACGGGGAAGATCATCAAGGCATGGGACTGTCGGCTTTGGGGGATGACTCTGCTATAGCATTTGGAGTTTCCGAGAATAGGGGGCACCTTATTGGGGGTCCTTATAATATGGATCCTACTATTTAGGGTACTATGTAAGGGTCCCCTATGTTCGGAAACCCCCATTTAGGTGCAATCAGCACACACACACAAGCACAAACACGCACACCCACTTCATGCTAAGGGACCACGCGGGTATGGGATCCTTACATGATATACGTCAAGGTCATCGGCAATCATCGTCTGAGCGCCGCAGCGTGTAGTGCTGTATTGCCATGCTGATCTGCTCCATTTACATCTGCCCCGGCAGCCAAAAGGTCCTGCACAAAAGACTATCCGCGGCTGAATGTCATCATTGGGGCAAGACTGCGGGATGGAGAAAGGAGACGGAGAGGAAGGCAGAGAGCGAGAGGTGACAGAGGGTGGCAGAGACGAGGAGGCGAGGGAGGTAGAGACCGACTGACGGCTCCCTATGGCTCCAACAACTGCGAGAAAGCTAAGGAGCTGCCCTGCCTCCGATTACGGAGAAGGCTGGTCACAATGGATGTCTTGCCGAAGAACTACGCAAGAATCACGTTGCAACGAACTTTTGACTGCATGAATGCTGAATGCTTGTCTGACGTTCTGACGATCGATGGAGCATGCAGACTACGCGAAGTCCTCCACCAACCCATCCTCTCCTGCAATTTACGGTTCATGGTGTATTGAGCTTCAGTACTTAGTGACTTGCAAGTAGGGGTTGACTCCAAAACTTGCAGATGTCAACGTGTGCTGGCCTGCCCGGACCGAAGCAACGAGCAGAGTGTCACGGGAGCACCCAGGGCCTGCAATCACAGCAGCACCAAACCCGACGCGATGGGGAACTCAAGCTTTCTGCTCGATTGAGACACACAAAGAGGAAATGATGCCAGCGAAGAGGAGCAACAGGTTACAGGTTTGATGATGTCTCGCACAAAGGGCTGCCGATTCTTACAGGTCTAGATTCTAGATCTCCAACTTCTAGCAAGCCACATGTTCCTGTGCAACACACAGAGACCCATGCTGTTGTCCGCCGAGTTGGCATCCAGACCACTCTCCAACAGAAGCTGGACCTCAACAGATCACTTCTGCAATTTCAGCCCTGGAAAGTGACGGAATCAGGATCTCAGCCCTGAGCTGTGTTTCTATTCGCCGATCGTTGAAGCCGTAGTCGTGCGAAGAGTGCATCGGCAATGTGTGAGTCGCTCGCAGAAGCCCCTGCTTTTAGAAGCACTTCCAGAGCGGGGCAGGGTTGATCAAGTCGGAGCACAGCTGCCAGAGGCAGCTCTCCGGAGGAGTCTGGCTCATCGGCCTCATGGCTCTATATCTGCATACATTCGCATTCTTATGAGTATGCATGTGTACAGGGATGTCTCAATGCGTCGTGGAGCCTCATCACATATTACTGCAAGAGCGTGACCCTAAGCCCGCATCTGTTCTCAGGCTTGCGCGGCTAAGCCTTGTCGAAGCTCTCGAAGCAAAAGCTCGCGTGCAGCCGAGGCGGAAAGGCCCTCGAGGCGTCTTGTCACAGATCCCCGAGGCTGGCTGGCACTGCAGCCCATCCCATGTCCTCAGGCACTGACGATCGACTCGACACTTTAGGTTCGCATGTATCACCACACAGCTTCCTGATATTCCGGATAGTCTTTCTTGTGGCAACTAGGAGGCAATTTAGAACCTACGCAATTTGGCCGGCGCTGATGCCGAAACGAGTGTGCTCTGCTGCACGATGTGCCTTCTGTACAGTAAACGTTGTTGATTGTGTTCGGCCAAACAACAAGTAAGAGGTCCAGATACATTCATTGCTTACACATACTCGTAAACACCTGCCTTCGTAGTTGCTGATGACTGCTTCTGCGCCTACCTATTTAAATACATGTTCGGTACCGTTGGTACACAAACACACGCACACATATCATGACATATGCGTGTGCATGTGCACGAATTTCTGTTGTATCTATGTGTGTATATATATATATATGTTATAGATGCAGACAGGATCGTTACATTTTCCGATGCTCTTACTGTACTGGGAACGGGACAGACAGTCTGTGCCATGGCGTTGCCGGGCTTGCAATTGTGTCTGCAGTGTCTTTCCGTTGAAAGTTTAGGGATCAAGGAGTCAGTTGCTATGCAAGTGCAGCATGAGCCAATGAGTGCGATGGGGCTTACACTCGCCCATGGGACACCTTCGAAGTAACTGTTTGCGTCTGTGTGTGTGAGTGCCGAGGTCATCTTGTTGCAGGGAGTAGGCCACGATGCAAAAGCAGGTGCAAGAAACTCAGCAAGCAATCGCTCTCCAAGAGGTCTCATTCAGCTTCTGAGGTTCGCTGTGGACTTGCAGAAGTTGCTATCAACGACTGGAAGTCTGAGGCCCTCCATTTGCAACATTTTGCAACGCACATCACTTTGAAGGCCCCAGTCATGAAGAGTCAGGAGGGGAAGGTCTCGGCATAGTCGAACGGGCGCCGTTCCACTGCTGGCAAGCTGCCTTCCCGATTCCAGCCCTCCACAGACTGGGTTGCGACAGCTTCCTGGGGACCCGACCGTCCAGCCCAGCTACATGCATCTTCATAGCCGCGGCTGCAAGCTCCTGTGAACGATGTGTCGTGATCCTTTCAGTAGGCCTCAGATTCTCTGTTTGGTCTATGCCCTCCTCACGCAGCGTGGGCGATTCGCCATCCAGAGATGGTGCCTGAAGCCATCCATGAGGCAGCGACGTTATCAGCTGTGGCAAGATCGGATCGTGGCGAACCATGCGCGGAAAACCTCCTATCGAACTCGAAATATTGACTGAAGTTGAAAACTGTGTTTCTTCCATGTCACTCTCCATATGACACTCAGAACCTGCCAATCTTTCAGCAGCCTTTTGCCCCCACCGGTTTCAGCCGCTCAGGTTGCACTCAGGTACTTTCAACGTGACATTGAAGCTGAGAATGCAACATCGCGATGCCAGGAAAAGTACCATCGACCGGCAGACGTATTCCTGCATGCAAACCCCATGGTGGCAGCTGCGACGGGGGCTGTCTTTGCCGGCCTGATTGGAGGTGCTGAAGCATAAGCTGCGTATAGCTCTGGTTCCGAAGCCACGCGGATGACGTGCTCCACAGCCGCCTTCACTGCAAACTCAGACTACTCGTAGCACCTCGCACACCGCAGAATGCCTCGAAGGATTCGAAGGAGTTCACCCAGATCATGGCATCGGGATTGAACAGTTCAGCGACCTTGGATGCGCAAGGATCGAACGAGTTCGACTCCTCAAGTCGACGCATGGCCCCTTGATGAGGGCCTTGCAAAGTCGGATCCCCAGTAAATCGGGACGGCCTTCCGACAGGGTTTAGGGTTTAGGGTTTAGGGTTGGTCATAAGATCCTCGAAAAGAATGCCAATCAGAGGCTGGGGATTGGACTCCAGCAACGAAGGCGTTCACAATTTTCTCGGTCACGTACCTCGATCCAGACCAGGTCATGAGTATTTCCGTATGTGGCGTTGTGCCTTCGTCTGTAATCATCTGCGCCTACGTACCATGGTATATCGTCGTAGAACATGCAGCTCCTAAGCAGGACATCCACACCCAAGCCTTGTTTGAATCTTGTTCTCGAAGACCAGCGCGAAACGAAATCGTCGGAAGAGGTCTGCAGCGTCCTTTGGGGTTGCGTGTCGAAAGTGGGATAGGGCCTGGCCCAAACCCTGAACCAACTCCCTACAATGCAAGCCTGCCCAAAGGTGTCGGAGGCACAGCTGCAAGACTGTTTTCAGGCCGACTGGGCACGCGGCGTCCATGTAGGTCTCAGCATACCTTTGTGACCTTTGCATGCAGGTGCAAAAATCTGCAAAGCACCCTGCCACATGTACCGCGTTTAATGCGTGGCTGCTTCTACACTGGACCGTGATTTCTGAGCACTAGCACGTTCGATCTATTTCGCCGGCATCGCCACACCGAGATAGGGTCTGCCACGACACGAACACTCCGTGAACTCTAAGGCGACGAGGCGGTCGGCCTCCACTGGGCCCAGGCCAGCTTCGCGTCCTCTCGCATCAAGCAGTCTGAAGAAACCTTCTCCTTGCAAGCACCCAGGCATTCACAAGCACAAGAGATGATGTTTTGGGCTCAGGTGGAGGCTGTGAGGATAACATTTATACACCAGGTACGCAGCAAAGCCAGGTCGATCCTTGCAGGCACAGTGGAGTCTCGGAGTCTGCAGACTGTGCTACAAGAGACCCGCTTCCGCAAGGGAAGCACCGACCCGCCTCCGGGTCCACTGGTCTTGGCAAAAGCAAGCTATTTGGTGTCGCAAAGCTGCGCGATGCAAAAGAGGTAGACCTGTCACAAAAACAAAAACACATCCTGCCATCATCCGGCCATACTGTAGCCTGGATCGAAAGAACTCCAAAAGGCTCTGCAAACATTTACATGTCATGCTCAGCAGATCAGCGTCATCTCATTCCTCGCCCTTTTCCTTCCTTATCCTCGAGGTGAAGGCAGCCGCCGAGGACGGCACGCATAGGGCACCGGGAAGAAGACAGAGTCGCCTCCGGCAGGTAAAGGGCCAACGACCTGAAGCTTACGATTCAGCATGACTGCTCTTCAGCTGGTTGCTGCTCATCGTGCCATGATGCCTCTGAGGTGTGGTCTTGCCTTTGCTTCTTACCATCGATCTGTCTGCTTCGATTGTTCACGTGCCCACTGCCAGTGTAAGTATTCCGGCTAGTATCACTTCGATTGGCATGCCTGTTGCTACTCCTAGAAGTATCATCACGACTCTTTCCGACTGGTATGTGTGATGTTGTAGACTTGTCATCGTGGCTCGGACTCTTACGATTGACTGTCTGTGTTCCCTCTGATTTCTTGCGTTTAGCTGCATTGCTCGTCATCATCATTGATACTCACGACTACCGTTGAAGCCTTGGCTTCGTGGTTCTTGCATGCACTGTGGCACTGTGGTGATGTCATAGTGCTGGTAAGTGAATTTCCATAATTCTTGTGGCTCTCTTGATCTGTCCTGTTATCACTAGCACGGCTGATGCTGCCTGTTGTTGTAGTGCTACACGCATTTGCTAAACTCATCATACTGCTATCGATTTTCAACATATGTGTCATACTCTGTACCGGCAAAACCTGGAGGTTCCACTTGCATGGATTTGGGGGGCATCGAGAGCATATAGCTTCGGGATTAGCTGCAAGCATGACAGCATGACTCATAAAGCTGTTGCACCGGTGGCATGAGACCTATCTGAAAACATGCCTCTTGGCGGCAGCACTCCTTCGTCTGAGGTTTTTCATTGCCAGAAACTAGACAAACGTGTCACAGCGTACTTGCTTGGGTTCCAGGCGATCGATGCCGGGTACGACTGCAGCAGCTCCTGCAAACACGTCAGCGTGGGCAGAGAACTTAGTCACTTGTCTGTGTTGCGTGCCTCTTGCAGAGAATCCGCCGGGCTCCCCTCGCCATCCACGAAAATGAGGACGCCACCGAAGTTTGTCGGCAGCGACCTCTGCAGACTAGGCAGAAGCAACACACGACTCCGCACTCCGGCTGTGCACTTTGCTGAGATGAAGGGAAGAAAGGCTTCAACGAGGAAATCTGCCCGGGTGCTCGTAAGACAGTGCTTCCCCCATGCTGATCGCTGAGCGAGGTTCGAGCGATACACGAAGATGTCGGCACCTGAAGAGTCATGTGGGGGTTTCCGGAAATAGGGGACCCTAATATAGTACCTTAAATAATAGGGACCTTATTATAAGGACCCCCAAATAAGGTACCCCCTATTTTCGGAAACCCCCATGTACATGTACAGCAGGCTCGAGGCTCACCCTAAACCCTAAACAACGCAGGGCAGTCCCACAGTTTCAGCCGGCCTGTTTTCTCTCGCGCGTCAGGCCAGGTCAGCAAAGTTAGCGACGGCCCGTGTGCATCACGAAGGCACAAAGTTAAGAGCCAAGGATCTCCAGCCACTCTGAAGATGCAAATGAAGACTAGGAAACGCAATAGACCGCTAGTTCGACTGGCACCTCCTGATTTGCTGAGCGCCTTTGGCGCTTGGAGGTCATGGCTCGCTCTTGAAAGTGCCGTGGTGCTGGACTCAGATCAGAACCTGTCGCTGTGCGACCGCTTGGTTGCTTGATGCTTGTCCATGAATATGCAACAGGGCCTTATCAGGCCTAAGACATCGCGCCTGCATCCGATGGGAGGAGGTACAGGCCGCGGAGACGTGGCCTCAGCTCTCGGCATCTCTCCGCTCTCCGGGCGGACGGGGTCTCTCGGAGACAAGTCCACGGCTCTCCGAAGGCCTCGGCTTTGCCTGGCAAAGAGATGCAGATGCAACAGGGCAGGATGCAGGGATGCAGCATGATGCAGCCGAAGCAGGCCGAAGCCGTCGGACAGAGAAGCTGCCTCGACACCGCCGAGAAAGGTCTCGCACAGCCGCAGCGCGACGGCGCTGAGCAAGCCGTGCTCGGCCTGGAGCACTGGAGCCGGTAGTCGCGCGGAGAAGTCTTGTGCTTGGACATGACTCATGTAGACTTCGATGAATGGCAGTACTGGCAATTGAGCTGACCTGCTCATAATGAACTAAACCAGTACGCTCGGGCAAAGACCGGGGAGGCCGCGATGTAGTGGTTGCCTGGGATTGAGCACGCTGGTGCTTATTGCGGCGGGGATAATAATTAATCATTATGACAACAAGAATAACATGATCGCTGGTGCACTGCACACTCTGAGCTCACCACTGTGGAGGGCCGATTTGAAGAAGGGCCTCTTGCTATCAACAAGCACCAAGCACATACCATAGCATAAAACGACTGAACTCAATAAAACAGAATATCATATAAAAGAATAGACAGAATATCATTTAATATCATATTTCATAGAACAGAACAGAATAGAATACAATATAACAACGAAAATGGACATGGAAATAGACATGTGCATGCTATTAATCTTGGAACGAATACTCCGAAGGATATGTAGATGAATCATAAAAGCTAGTATTAGTATTGGCATCACAGCTGCAATTCCGCTCACTTGTAAACCTGATACTGGCAAGCCGTCAGGCCTCCTGCGGCGTGTTGCATTGAATATGCTCGAAGAAACTCTTCTGTAGGTGGCAGGTAGTTCCTCGCTGGCCTTAGCATTCGAGAAGCTGTTCAGACCGGCTCCAGGCGTCCCAATCATTTCCCAACGTAACCAGGAATCCTTTACCGGCGACTATTGATATTCCTATTTATATTCATATGCATATTCACAGAAAATTTTAAGCTATTGATATAAGACGATCTGACGTCAGCTTCTACTCGTCGGGACAGGATTTCTGATCGGGCCCCGTGTCTGCCAATTCTTAGCCAGCATGCTTCGGAAGTTCATATCTCCTGAGGGCTATCATACTATCGGCCTCAAAGTCTGCTATTTTTGAGTTGAGGAGTATCCACGATCTTGGGCTCGAACGGGCTCCCAGATCGCCTTGTTGGCGACACTGGGCAGGTGCTGCGCCCTGCAGGCTTCCAGCTGGAACGAGAACCTCGGCGAAGGACGGTATCTACTCGTAGGGGCCTTACTGGTTTAGGGTTTGGGAAAGTTTAGGGTTTAGGGTATAGGGGCCTTAACAACTACCTATACTATTCTGAGGGGCGACTCATAACCGGTTCGTTCCAAGCCACACGTTGCAGCTCGTGAAGATTGAGGTCTTGGACCTGCCGCGCCGTTCTTTGAGCTCCAAGAGTCTTCGGCGCTTCTTGGCCGAGGCTGCTGCCCAACTTTCGCTCCACCGGGATGTCAGGTCGGCCGAAGATGGTCTCCACCCTCTCTTTCGGGCAAGGTGTCACACAGTTGCGGTGGGTGAAATCTGATAGGCCACTGGCCTCTTCCTCTCTCTATCGATCTGGCATCTCTCTCTCTCTCTCTCTTTCAAACACTCCCGTTTCGCTGCTTTCTGGAGATGCAGGCCGAGCTTGTATTCAATCTTCCAGATTGAATGTTGCTGTTGGTGCGACAATGCTCCAGGACCCGACACATATTGCAGGTGTAACTTTCGCGTGGCTGAGCTCTCGCTCCGAAACTGAACATCGCGAGCTAATTGCCCCATTCCGGATTTCCCCGGTCGGCGTGCTCAGCCCCACAAAACAGGAAGGTTCGGTGGGACCCCACGTAACGGTTGCAATTATACGAGCAGTCATCACAATACATCCAGCCAATATAGCCACCATGTCTCACTGCGCGTCCTGCTGGCTGGACCTCTACACCTCCGTCGCGTGCCCCCTAGGCATGAAGCTCAAGTTCTTTCCTTAGTGAGGGTGGGACGCTAAACGTTCGTTTGGTGTCGGTAGGCTCATCGATCGTCTTTCTCATGCGTATATCGGTTCACATCTCATCTCTGGTGTTCTGGGCCCCGGACTGCTAGGGATGCAGTTTAGTTGCCAAGGCTGTGGTGAACCTGATTCCCAGTGTCCACCTGGCTCTCCAGCGCTTCTTTCTTGCAACCTTCCCCGCCGCCTTGAGTCTCCGCCCATGTGTGATGAGACTAGCTGGTTTCTGTTGGTTCGGAGCCTTCTTCCTTTCGATGTGGTGATTGGTCTTTCTCGCTCTCCCTTTCTTGTAGGCTTGGGGTCGACCTGCTTTCTCTCGCATGCGCTCATGCCTGCAGCATGGATGCAGAATTTGCACACAACGACTACGAAGGCTATCTTGGCTGCCTCGGCGTCATCGAAGGAGGCACGCCTGTGCTGAGTCTGATTCGCTGCTCGATCCGCGGCCGGATTACGTCTACTTACCCGCTCAGACGGACAGACTCAGTCGGTCAAGTTGTTCAACAGTTGCAGGACGGCTGTGGCTGTCTAACAAATGATTGCCCCATGAACCGCCCAACGCTAAATGGCAACACTTGGTGTTGGTGCCGGATTGAAGAGACACGGTGGGCAGGCACAATGCCTGAGTCAAGAACGTTTGTTCCATATTCAACAGACTCCCTTCCCCTTCCTAGCCGAAAAGAATGCTGCGCTGCTAGGCGTGCCCTTCACACGCTTTGCATGGCTAGCACTTTCTCGGCTTGCCAAGAATTGTCGGCACGCACGCTTGCACTGAGCCAAGTTGCTGGTGGGTTTCCCATACGTCTCCATGAGGTTCCTGGGAGCGGCTGGGGACTTTTAGAGACTCTAAGTAGCAGCTTGCTGGCAATTTTGAAGCTACTGTAAAGGCAGAGATCTGATTTGCCCTCGCTAGGCAGTGTCCGTGCTACTTGTAACACCGACAAGCATAGTAATGACGATGAGGATAGTGACCGCAAACTGGAATGCGCAAGATCTGCGTCTCATTGCCTGTATGAAGCCGATAGATGCTATGAATTCTGAGCAGATGGGTTTTCATTCTGCTACTATATGCATGCTACCGGGATGGCAGAGTACTGGTACTGCATGTGCGCAGACTATGGCTGTGTGTATACTATATACATTCTTGCAACTATCCCTGCGAGTGTTTCGATGTCACGTCACCACTTTAGTACGACAGACACTGAATGCTGTCAGTCTCTGACTGTTGATGGTTGAGGTCGTACTGATACAGGCTACGAGGCACGCCACACAAGACTCTTGCTATACCTGTATTCTGGCCAAGCGGCTGCACACGTGCTGACTCGGACCGACCTCAACTTGCTGTAATGTAAATCAACTGGCTGATGCCGCGTTAATGGCCGATTTATCGCAATTCCAACTCCATGAGGCCGAGGCCACTCCCACCGCTACTGGAGCATTGCGGTGTTCTGCTGCTTGCTGCGCTGCTGCTGCTGCCCAAATTGCCGTGTGCCTGCAGTCAAGACTCACACGGCGGAAACTGTCTATGTCGGTGCGAAGTCTTTGCCAGTCTTTGCCCGACTTCCAGCGCAACACAGGAATCTAGTCACTAGACTCACTGGTGCATAACAGGGCTGCCTCGTTGCCACCCGTACCGCGCTGAGACCGGTCCGAGAGGCTTAGCGGAGCTGCGGACAAAGCCTGTCAGGAGCCGTCGAGCTCGGCGGCAGACCGGGACTGGGTCGTTCTCTTCAAGACTCGACGGGCTCACGCTGGCAGGTGACAGTCGAAAGGTCAGCCTCGGTGCGAAAAGTTCCCAAGCTCCCGTGCTGCAGCTTCCTGCCTGTGACAGCCCCCCGAAAGCTGAAGCACCAGCATGCAGAAGGAAGAAGTCCGCGGCCACGGACTTCGTCACCGTGCATCAATCGCTGAAGGTCCGCAGCACGAGCACAGCACTCAATTAGTGAGACCCATGATAAGGAGTTGCGGTGGCTTGCGGGATGATGCTGAGGGTGAAGTGTGTCCAGGGTGACGTGTCCTGTGGGGGGGGGGGGGTTGGGATTGTAGCAGTAGTAGAGGAAACATCGATTGCAACGGTGACAGTATCCTTTGCAATCATTGAGCGTGCAACGGGTCCCAGCACCAGGCTTACTTCTTTGCTATACACCCATTGCATCTAGATTGCAGCCTTGCCATCCCGGCTCTCGAGCCCAATGCAATTCAGCGGGTGGCAACAGGCTTCGCGATTTCTGCTGAGGATTTGGTAGGAGCATCTGCACCTGTGGGTCCTACAGTGCAGTGCACCTGAGAGTGACCAAGACTCGCACAGTCCACATCTTCCTCAAGCACGAAGTCGTGGAAGCTGAAGACCTGTCGGCTAAGTCGCAGCAGCCGTCACATGGAGACGGCTTCGCCAGACAGAGCACTACCTTCCCTGCTTCAAAATTCCGGCGATGTATTGGCAAGGATCGCCTCCTGTGCGAAGTTCTTCGCCCAATTCAGGCCACCCAGCTCAGCCTCCCATACTGTGATGAATGGACAATTCAGCCTCCCATTCATTGATGACTGGGCGGAAATCCAAAATGCAAAATTCTAGTACTTCTGTTGCGAGACCGGCTTCAGTAACACCGGGCAGCTGTCAAGCTTGCCACGGAGCCTCTCGAGATGACCAGGACACCAAGACACCCGTTGATGTAGCTGCCGACCTGACAGCATGTTCTGGGCCCTTGTCAAGGACCCTAAATTGCAAGTTACCTAGCATAATCAGGCCTAAGATACGTACTGGTCTCTTTAATACAAGAACCCCAGGGTTCTAGCCCATTGAGCCTCAGACCTGGGCTGCAATCGGGAAAGGAGTGGCAGCAATGGCCATCGGGAGCTTGCCAAGGCCTCGACGAAACATGAAAAGCCTGGAAACTCTTAGCTCCCTTGGCCGGGCTCCAGGCGTTGAAAGAGTCGGCAGCTTCACCGAAGGTCCGCAAGGCTCCTGCTCTTGGCGGCACTCCAGTGGGTGATCGGTGACTGGCTGCACGTCGCGTGCCTCCCTGGGCCTTCTCGACCGCGATATCAATCTGAGATGCAGGCTTCAGTGGGTCTGATCCCGTTTTGCAATCTGCCCGTCCTTGCGCTGGGCACCGAGCAAGTTGGTGCGTGAGCGTGGACGTTGGTCGGCGCCTTCAGTTTCTTGCCGATTCAGGAATCAGGCTTCAAGCCTAAAGACGGAGAACTGCAATTTCAGGTACTGCACAGGCCGGGCGTGCTCTGAGATCGGTACCAGTGGCATTGCAAAGCATCTGCAAGCGCAGCATAGGCTACCTAGGATGCATACCAGTGAGAAGCCTCCGAAGGACAATGCTTCTTCAAACGGCATGGCGGGACGTCCTCGAGGACGTGTGCTGTGGTTTGAAAGTCTTTGCATCTCCTAGCCTTTGTTGGCTACCCACTGCCATTGTGATAGGAGATGGCCGGAAACAAACGAACTCAAACATATTTCGACTGCCATCCTGCAGACCCGAGAACTTCTTGTTCTTAGCCGAAATTACATGCTCTGACAGCAACGCATCTGTGAAAACGAGCTGTCTGAGGCCCTGCTGAGCCCAAGACACCCAAGGCCGCAGTGCAAACGCCAGGGTGGCGTGGCTTGGCTCGTGCCACAGCCTGAGCATGTGACGACTGGGGAAACTGCCACCTGTTCAACAGAGACAGACACACAAGCCTGCACGCGTGCGAACGCTGATACATGAGCGGTCACGTGTAGCCTTGCGACGATCCTGGAATCGGCTGAGGGCCAGAACAGTAATGAATTCCTCACCAACCTTGGGATGCCCCCAAAAACCGAAAGCACGTGCTGGATGTTGCCAGAATCGCGATTCCGGAAGACATCTGCTGGCTTAGCCAACCAGGAACCAGTGAAGACTTGACACATATCGTTCTGGGCTCGCTGCAAGATCTACGTCGCCGACCTACAGTACATCGCACGTTAGATCTTTGTGGCTCCGAAGAACACTGGCAAGACGGCATTTAACACTACAAGCGCTGAGAATCTGGGGCCTCTTGGTGGAAAAAGTCGATAATATGCGTGAGTTTCACAGTTCGGCCTGCCAAGTCTTTGCACCTGACCTGCCACTCTTAGCTATGGATGCCGGAGATTGCAGATTGCCACCTTCTCCGACGTACAGGGAAGCTGCCAAACGGACAGCCTCACCAGTAGACAAGTGAACCCGTCAGGTACAAGGAAAACATGCCGTGCCACGTCTACCATCAGAAACTGTGGCAGTAACACCTCCGCCCCTGTACCCTTGTGACAGTCTTAAGTGTGAGAGCAGGTCACGGCCAGGGAGTCTGGTGTGCTTTTGCAGGGCAGGAGGAGTAAGAATGCCAGAGCTGAGATGCCTCCTGCTCCTCGTTGCAGTTCTCTGAAGGCTCCTCCGCATCTCATCGCAAGCGGCTTCCAACGTTTGCTGAGCACAAGCGGCTTGTAACGTTTGCTGAGCACAAGAGACCGCGTCCTTCCATCCCAGCCGGTACACGGCCAAGGAGACGTGCGTGTCCTCTCTGAGTTCCGATTCCACCTGGGTTCAGGGTTGAAGGCATCATCGATAGAAGGACCAGATGCCACTCTGTCACTCTGGCCATGCCATGGTCCGATTAGACACCTGGCTAGTAGCTTGTGACAGTTGCTCTCATTCGGAATACATCGTTCGTCGGCGTTTCTGATGGCTCTCACCGGCCGGTGTGTGAGACAGAGAGAGAGAGAGCGAGGGGTTGGAGAAGACCTCTGGCCCTCCGTTCAATTTTCAATTCCTGCTGATCACATAAGAAGAGGCCACGACAGCCTAGGGCAACAAAAGGAGCCAGAGTCGAAGAGGGCAGCGCAGGATGATAGCATTATTCATAAAGATACACCCTTGTCGCGTCGTGGTGCCTTGACCGACCTTATTGTACGTAGGAGTGCCCCCGCGTAAGCAATATCTCGGCCATCTACGAGCAGCTTCGATCTGTCCCGTTTGCAGCTTAGCTCATTTAATTACTGAGGGGTCAGACGTGAAACCTGCTATGTCGACGCACTCAGCCACGTAAGCACAAAACGCGAGTTGCCATATTGCTTACACAGATGCACCATGATGGACCTTGAGGTGGGGGGGAACCAAAGGTGAGGGGGCGCGCCCCCCGCCCCCATTTTACACAATGTTGCCCGCACCTTGTGGTCGTGGTGCGGGAGGGGGGCCCACCCCCTGTAAACTGTTTGTGAAGGCATCAGATAAGGTCCTGCACGCAATTTTGACCTAGTTCTCTACTATCCAAGTCGGCAAGCTCCACAGAGCCAGCTTTCTTGACATCTTATCAAAACCCTAAACCTCAAATCACGGATTCAGGATCTGTTCGGAGACTAGTGGCTTTCAAGTAGTTCAACGATGTTTGCTACCGCGCGCTCCTGTCGTGGTCAACACAGAGACAGGCGGTGACCTTCCTCACGACAGCACACTCACCAGCTTGCCAGATAAAGAAGCTCTTTCAAACTTTGAACTGTCGACCTTCCTTTAAGCAAGATCGCTCCCAGATGTTCCCAGAATCCTCACCAGGTCTATAGAACTACTCTGGCACAATAGCATCGGGGCCGGGCCAGCGCCGCGAGAGGGAAGACGGGCCATCCTGGCATCTATGCGATCCCCGATATTCCTCCCTCTTATGCACTGGCCACAATCACCAAGAGCCAAGTGTGTGAGACGTTCCAAGGAATTAACAAGGAACATCCTGGCATCTTGCAGCCCACGCCGGCTGTGTAAAGTCTGTGTGTGGGGACGTGGTCGTGTGTACATATGCTTAAAGAGACAGTATACGTTGAGCATCCTACGTCGCCCAAGAGTCCGCACTCGTACTCTCTAGATGTAGTAAGTTTGATTTGTTCCTGAGCAGTGCAGCAACGGCTTGAAGGAAAAGATGAAGCTGCAAAAGACGGGCCAAGGCCCTGCCTGAGTGAAGCAGCAGCGACCACGGCCTGCCGCGAAAGGCAGGCAACGAGGGTTTTTAAACAAACAAAGAGGGTTTTTATGAAAACCCTCTTTGGGGGTCTTTATAAAAACCCTCAGGCAACGACAGAGCACAGAGCAAGCGATGAATTTCATTGCAGGCGCGGCGTCGCCGCCGACATGAACTCCGCCAGACCATCGTCCAAGACCTTTCCCTGGGCACAGACACGTCGTGTCAGGCCCGATGCCCAAGAAGCATCGAACGAGGCTACTTGGAGGATCATGGGACTTAGTAACTAGGGTTATAATGAAGGTAACTATAGTATAATTACTTATAACCCCAATTAAGGTAACCCTACTTACTAAGTCCCATGATCCTCCAAGTACTTCGTCTGGTCAACCCCTGTGCTCATTTGCTGAAGTCAGACCTCTTCCAGCAGGCGCCTCGCTTGTGACCGCGGCCTCATCTGGAGGATTAGGCTTCCCTCTCTCAGCCAAAGAGCCTAAGAAAGAGCCCGAAGTGAAGCATCTACTACAACAGCCCGCATATAAGCAGGAAGCCTCATATGCCGAGCTCCGCTCCAAAGCCAAAGCAGCTACTGTGCTGTAGTCTCCGACTAAAACGAATTAAGAGCTGCGCTTGAACAGCAGCAGGAAAAACCTGCCGCGCAGTGCCACTATGCAGAATCTCTGCATCACCCCCAGCATGCACAGCCAGTTCTCTGCTGTTGTTGTCCCGCATCGTCTCATTATCCCAGCTTTTCAGTGCAATCCTCACCTGATCTCCATACACTCTCTGCTCCTCCATGCGCTACTGCATTCACTGAATCCTTCGCACAGCAGCCATCATGGGAAGATGAGGATCAGCTGAACCCCAGCATTACTCTACCTTTACATTCACAATAGCAGCATAAAGAAGCCCGCAGCACGTCCGGCAAAGCTTCGCCGCCGTTTGTACGTGGTTCGCTGCATCGCTGCTGGCGCAAGTCTCAGCACGCGGGCATGGCACAGCTGCATCAGTCGGTTCTTGAGCAAACCAAAGGAGGACTTCGAAGGGCACCAGCCTCGTCAAAGTTCCCAAAGTCCTCGAGAAATTGTCTATACTGAGCCTCAGCAGCGGCTTGTGCTACCACCGAAGCATAGCAATCAGTTCTAATGCGTGGACTAACAACAACGAGGGCACGACCGCGGCAGCAGTAACTGCATCCGACGATGCCCTCAGTGATCTGCAGCGGCCACTAGAACTGTTTTCCAAGGGAATTGGCCGACTAATTACTCGTTCATCTCTGTCTTTGGTGAGCTTGCCCGCCGTTCTGGCGCGCACACTAGTCCTTCCAATGCTGCTTCAAAGCGGCCCCATTCAACATCGCTTCTGTTGTGGCAAGTCAAGAGCCGGGATGTTGGATCGATCAACCCTCATCTTCCATGAGCGAACACATTGGATATCATTGAATTGGTGTCAGTGCATCAGCACCCGACAAAACACCACAAAAGATCTAAGACCGTCGCTTGGAGCGTACCTCGCGGCTAATCGTGATCTTAATGCCTTTGCTGTTGGCCTCTCGGCACTCGAAACGATGACACGGATGCAAGGGAACACCCTGCAAGAAGGCAGGGAGAGCGCCTCAGCATAGTAGTCCAACCCCTTTCGTGCAACATCAGACCACCTGAGCAGACTGAGCAACACCGGCTTGCTGCTGAGAGTTGACAAGGTCCTCGCAGACCGTCGATGCCCTGCCGCGACTTTCGATGAAGGCTGGGGAGACCACGCTCTGCTCAAGTCCGTGCACGCCTCTTGGGGGCCTGACATGCCATCCCAGGGAATCCTTTCTCAACTCTTTTTTCACATGGACCGAGAAGGAAGCTTCGGCTCGCGACGCCAAGCACGGTTGCAAGTAGTACCTCAAGCCGAGAATGCCGTGGCTCACTCGACTCACTCGACACCCTTGGAGCAAATCTAACATTACATCCAAAATGCAAGTCGCATCTGGTCATCGCGGCCACACAGCCAGCTGACCGACCCCTACACATTGGAGCTTATTCTGGGCTGCATGTCTGTCAGCAGATAGTTGATGTTGATGCACTGTTGCGTTTCAAGCTGGACCAAATTCAGATTTTTCAGCAAGGCCCGCGTGGTTGTTCTGCGGAAGCTGAGCCAAGAATGTGCAAGCCGCGTCATCACCCAACAACGTCAGAAACTGACACGAAAGAAAATCTCTATGCAAGTTCCTCAGTAGATGCTCTCAGGTTTGCATCTGAAATCTTGAGGTGTCTCAAGCCACCACTGCCTTCGCTGCACTCTTGCAGCAACCGCTCAACCTATACAAGTTCGGAACGGTCGTTCATGCTATGTGAAACAGTCGAGGGCAGAGCACCTTATGCCCCCCCCCTCATGCCTTCTCACTCAACGCCTTCAGCATCGAGATTGTTGTCGGATTCTCGCTTGGCAGCGGATGGTCCATCGCTGCATTAGGATCATCCGCCGGTGCTATAGCATCTTCGCCTTCGCGAAGCTCTAAATCCTCGTCTTCGTCAGAACCTTCCAGGCCTTGTCTGCTCTTAGAGGTGAAGGAAAAGACATGATTGAATGCATCACTGCCAAACGACTTAGCTGCGAACCTTGAGTTTCTGCATCCGCTTCTGCAGCTCCCATGCCGGCGGCTTGGTTCCGCAGCTCGTCTTTGGTGAAACGCATGCTGTCCATTTCTTCTTGAAGGTGCTGGACCTGCCCGCACGGTGCCCACGTTTGCTTATGGTGCTGGTTGCTGTTATCCCTGCCAGACCTATATAGGAGAAGCACACAGACCCATCCCTTAAATTGCATAATTGCAGGCCTCCATCTTCAGGGCATGTTGATCGTTCATTTTCTTCTGAATTTTCTGCTCAAGCAGCCAGATGTACTTTGCCAGCGTCTGCTGATCACGCAGCGCCATGACTTCATGCACTTCAGCTGCATATCTCATCTGCCGATGCGCCTCCTCCATTTCAGCTCTTGTCCTGCTCTCATCGGTATCAACTTTCTTCATGACCACCTGCTTTATGAACACATCTTCGTTTTTGTACTGCTGCTTCTTGACGAGCAGGTTTTGGAAGTCACTGACCAATGATGCTGCCTCATCGTGCCCCCATTTGACTACGCCCAAAAGCCGATCGTCCATGTCACAGACTTCACGTAGTGGCTTGCTCAGCGCCATCTGACTCCCAGCTTCCCCATCCAGACCTTTCCGGATGTTGTGGATCACCTTGGCAGTGTCAGCAACGCGCCCTGCGCGCGAGACTGGCCCATCTTTCTTGGCTGCCTTGGGGTCGCCCTCCATGACGAAATCATCGTCCCAATCGATGCAACGACAGATTTTGGAGAAGAGTGGCTTGAGCTTCCTCTTGAACTTAATGGGCGGAGGATCTGCTGAGACGAAGAACCTGTCGAGAATCGCAAAGAAGATGTTCGTGAAGACGCAGTACACCAGAATCAGGTAGGGGAAGAAGAAGATCACCGCCATCACGGGGTTTGCCTGGAAGAGACTCCAGAAGTCAAACTCTCCGAGGATGAATGAAAAGCAGAAGATGAAGGCCGTAAAGATGTCGGAGCATTTGATGAACCGAGGTCCGAAGGACACGAAGGACAGCAAGGTGCATGCAAAAAGAACGATGCCGAGAACAATGATGAACCAAAAGATGTCGGTTCTGGCCTCCTTCAAGGTCTGATTGAGCCTTTGCATGCGTGGATCTTCACGAATGAAGCGAAGGGGTCGGACGAAGATGAGCAGAAGATTCGCGGAGGAGATGCGGTTGTACTCCCGCTCTTGGGCCGTCAGCTCAGCTGCGAAGTCAACAATTGACCCGTAGTCCCCCTGCAATTTCTGCGGCAGGTCCCCCTCCTTCACCAACCACATGATGAAAAGGACGAAGCTCCAGAAAGACATCAGAAACGAAAGCGTATCGACTGGCCGGAATATGTCTGTGGTAAAGAAGGTGTAGATGGTGGTCAGAAAGCCTGGACCTTTCTCTGCACCCTCCATGGAGACTGTTCGGCGAGTATGCTCCGTTTGCAGTTCTCGATAAAGCATGATCGTGAAGCACATTACCAGGATCATGTAAATGACTCCAGGGAGTAGACGTCCTATGAAGTAGCTCAACTTGTCCACTCCAACATCCCAGCCGAAGAGTGCCAACGAGAAGACGCGCAAGTCTTTTCGCACTTCACCAGCTGGCGTCTGCACGAACTTGATCACGATGTAGCTCATCATGTCTCTGTTGGTATTGTGGGTAACTAGCTCAACCACGAACGTTGCAGAAGCACTGGTGAAAAAATCGCTTGCCATCATGAGATCCATCTGGTCCTGGAATGTCGCCGGATCTGAATCCAGCTGGCATACAATCCCGCCTGCATTCTTGTAGCTGCCCAGTCCGTCTGCCGCCACCGTCTTGCAGAGTTCAACTTGTCCAAGAGCCAACTGAAACGCTGCCCCCGTGTCCTCGGCGACATTGTTGGGGGAGTCAGGGTCAATTGTCCGGGAGAAGCCTGATGCGTTCACCAGCATCTGCTGGATCTCCTGGCCCGTAGCATTGTCAACTCCACCGATGAAGCGTTCGTCATCGGGAGTCGAATCGTGGCGTGCCCCATTGTTCAAGACTCTTCTGCTCCGCTTCTGCGTGATACGCACGATACTGGTGGCATTCCCGGAGCTACCAGTCAGGAAACAGTTCCAAGATCGAAGGCATCGCACACCTTCTGCTGCCACAGGGTTTGCTCCTGTCGTAGCTCTTGCTAAACTGGCCGAGGAAGTTGAATTGAAAATCAGCTCAGGGAGCCCATGGCGAATCCAAGAAATTGCCTGCGGCCAGGCGTGAATTTCCGCCCATCCCTGCAGAGGAGCTTCACCAGGGTTCACAGACATAAACGAGGGCACCTCTAGCGCATGCACGGTTTCGTTGACCACGATTCGAACAGAACTCTTCGCCTCGACCATCATGTTCACGTACAGGAACCAGATGTAGCACGAGACCATGATGCAGTAGGCCAATGCAGTACAGAAGCCATCTTTGGCAGCTTTGTTGGTGTCTCTACCACGATACTCCTCCACCTTCTGTCGCACTGCTTCATCAAGAGCGGATGCATCCGGGATGGCAGCTGCTGCCTGTGAGTTCACTCCAGCAGAAACAGCTTCAACATCATCCTGCTCCTCAGCAGGCTTTGGCTTCCGCAAGCTGCTGAGAACCTGCCAAAGACTTCGACCTTTCTTCTTGCTCTTCAGCTGCTGCTCATACTGCTCGCGCTGGAAGACGGATTTCATGTCCTCTGAGACCCTGTTGTAGGAGTAGTTGATGATGGCATTGAACATCTGCACCGACAGAAAGAAGAAGAAAAACATGAAGAGCCAAATAAATGGCACCCGAAGTGGTGCCTGGAAGCCGTCCACAACACTCAGGTCCCCGAAGAATAGCGAGAAGGTGCTGACAAAGGTGGTCCAAGGGTCTGTGAAGTTTGCAGACAATGAGGAGAAGTGCGTCAAGGCAAATGTGAAGAAGCCAACGAAGATCACACCAATGTACAGGATGTAGACAACCATGTTGCCAGCACTGAACATGATGGTCTTCAGAAGCAGGACCACGCGCGAACGCGTGTTTGCTAGAAATTGCAACACCCTCAAGTAGATGGTGAATGTCGCAAACGAGGATGCCACTATGTAAAGAGAGAACGTGGCGAACCGGGATTGGAACTCCGCTGGCTCCTCAAATTGGCGTCCAACCCGGAAATCTCTCAAGCGAGGCATGTAGTAATACCAGAGGCCGAAACAGCTGATGCTCCCAATGATGGAGCACGCATTCACATAGCACCAGAAGTTTCTCAAATATGTCGGAAATCCCTTTCCAATTCTGTAAACCAGCTCGAAGAAGTAAAGGCATGTAAGGATCAGGTAAGCATACTCGAAGTATTGAATCCAACTGTGGGACACGTCCAAACGAATTGTGTCTGACGCCATGCGGTGCGAGGAGAGCGCCCCTGCAGCACTGAACTCAAAGAAGACCCGAACCCTGGACAGGCTTTGGTAGTTCGCATTGTAGGACTGTAACTCCACTGTGAGACTGCCGAGCTGAGAATCAAAAAAGGGCTCGGCCAAAAACGTGTCCAGGCTCACTGTTCCAGATCTCTGAAGTCTTTCGTCACAATGATGCAGAGCTTCAGCTGGCGAGGTGTCAAAAGTTTGTGATTTGTCGATCAAGTGGACAAGAGTACCTGATGGTTTTGTGGTCATCACTGCCAAGTATCCTCCTGCATCCTCATATCCTCGGCACAGCCACTGGGAGCCACAAGTTAACCCATGCCCCCCCCCTGATATTCAACCGTCTAGTTATACCGTTCTTTCACTCCCACGCGCGAAGGAGCACCCTGCTTGATTGGTAAGCTTGGTCCAAAGGCCCGGTCTCCCTATGCAATTCGCACACACCACACGCAGGAAGGCCCAGCTTGCTCAGAGCCCTTCCAGCACGGTCCCGTTTCTGACCCTCTTCAGGGAATGCGCAAAGCACCGGCATGCCAGGATTAAGAGTGCAATCAAGGGTCCTGCATTTCCGCATGACGAGCATGGTGGCGTATGCATCCATGTCACATTGCCAGCGCGGATATTCGACGTTGCTTCGACATCGCCACCAGCTTGCCCCGGTGGGATGGTGTTTGCCATCCAAGTCAATGGGTAGAGCTGGGAAAACCGATCTGTGGTTGTGGACGCGCTGTCGGCCGACAGCTTCACACGTCGGAAGGTCAAGCTGAGAGCAGCAGCATCCAAGCATGACCCTGCTCTAGGAAGCACTCTATTGTGCAAGAGCAGAGACAAGGGATTCCCGTAAGACTGCTCACTGCCTGCTTGTTCTAGAGCCTTGCCAAGCCATCTAAGCCATGAGATGACATCTTTTTCGTTCTTGATATCTTCAAAAGTTTTCGGCACAGGGCTGTACTCGAAATACTGGCTGGCCAAGGCGGTTCTGAGTGCCTGGTTCGTTGCTGACAGATCTCCGACTTGACTTCGCTCCATGATGACAAACGTGGCAATGCCGGCATACACTGCAAATCGCAGCACCTCAGTGCAGAAGAAACACAAAGCCTGACGCAAACAGTCTCAAGAAATCATCCTGCCGTCAGACGCATAATTTGAGGCTGTTGTCTTACATGATGGAACACACCCCCCCCCCCCAGTCTTAGCTAGAAGCCCGAACAAATATCACCGTCGAGCCAACATACAAACCCAGCACTTGACATCTGGACAACTTCTGGAGACGCAGAACCGTTTAAACTGGTGAAACCTTTCATCTCGAGGCACCATTCGCATGGGTGCCTTTGGCTGGGCTTCGACTTTCGCTGCGAAAATGTCATCGCCCGCCAAACGATGCAGATATATGTGCCTTCGCTGCAGGCGTTTGTAGCGTCCATCTTTCTCATCTGCAAGCAGCTCCATCACGCCGGGTATTCCAGCATACTGCGCTGCTTTCACACGCTATCTCCTAACGTCTCGTGAGCTCGGCTGAGTGGAACTTGACTATGTCTTCCAGACCGAAACGATGCATTGAGCAGCTCATGTCGTTTTTGTGCTCAGAGCCGAGCCTTGCTGCCGGCGAGTCTGCATCTCAATACTCATATGCATAACGCGCTACCAATGTAGCAGAGAGGTTACGGCAGTGTCTGCGAGGTTTTTGGGCCACCTTGCCAGTCAGTATGGGTATTCTGCTCAGCAGAAGTACATGCGGCAATATCTACTGAACTGTACAACGAAACGCATCAGAGCATTATCGTTCTGATCGGCTTTCCCTCCTTGTTGAGACGTGGGCTGGTAGTGCTGCCCTCTGTCTGCGCCGGCTGCTCTTCCAGCAGATTGACTTGACCCCTGCACAAGGCAACTTCGAAAACTCGTAAGCGCACAGCCACGAGCTTTATGCCTGCAGACTTCAACGTCCCGGCCTGTTTGATGATGCCATGACCCCGGCGATCAACGATATCGCAACGAAAACACCAGCCACGGCAGCGAGACCCAAGCTCTCTCCCTGCAGACTTGATCGGTCATGGAGTCCCACCGTGTCATGGCACTTCAAGAATCAAGCAGCAAGCTGAAGCTCGTGCCGCAGAACCGAAATCCATCGGAATCCCCTGCTCGCAAATCCCACAAGCCCCTCGTCGTTCCGGGATCCTCCTTGTACTTCTCCACCTTGAAAAAGGGGGTCTCCACCATGAAGTCCCCCGAAGGTGCAAATTCAGGAAAATCTGCGCATCGAAAAAGCGTGGGGACAAACACGTCTAGTTTCGGAGCTTCCATGTCTGCACTGAAATGTCAGGCGTCGGAGGGCACCTGGCTGCTCAGTCGGTTGGTTTCCCGGTGTTCTTGCTGCCCGGGAGACCTGCAGGTCAGGTCCCTCTGCAACTGACGGAAGCTTTCGAGGTCGAAGGGTGCCTGCGGTGGCCTCCTGGCCATGAAGGGCCTGGAAAGCCGACAGACAGCTTCAGGAACCTTTTCAAGTCACAGCTTCGGGCCTGCAAAAGGCCGAAATCCGAGAAGCGAAGCATCCCAAGGCGATAAGGCACAACGTGAGGCCACAGCCTGCAGATGTTTCATAGTCAGAGGAACCACGCAGTTGAATCCCCTCTCCAAGGCCTTCTAAACGTCCAAAGCCAACTAATCTCCGGGCCTTCTTCCGAAACCATTGGTCACATCTCACATCCCACGGGGATGAAATAAACAACAGCTGGCCAGGGTTTTCAAAACTTCCCCTGTCACCCATGACACGGACACTATCCCGGCGGCAACAAGGATCGCTCTTCAACTCTGAAAAGAGGGAACTTGCATCCGTGCGAAGAGCTTTGCCTCCGATCCTGCGTCGACGCGGCATGTGCTTCGGAGCTGGTCCCTAAAGTCTACAAGTAAGTCTAAACAGCTGCAGGGCCAATAGCAACGATGGCTTGAGCTCAGCCGATTGCGAACATGGTCCATGAAAGCTCTGCCCTCACGACGCACCTTTTTGTGTTCACAGAATCTGCCAGGTCTCAGGACTTGACGATGTTGGAAGCTTGCTTGGCTTTCTTCTGTTGCTGCCCTTTCTTGGCCTGGCCAAAACAAGCAGAGAAGCTTCACTCAAAGCCACAATCCTCCCTTTAGCGCTTGGACAGCACGGCCGGTGCCCACGGCCCCCGTTTCGGTGTCTTTCAGAGCACAGGAACGCCAGCTTCACGCTCTCATGTAGCACGTAGAGTCTTGGTGCTGTTCTGGCTGGTGTCGGCTCCCCGGAATTGTTCTTGTTGCCTTCTCAAGGAAGAGCTTACTGCGAGGACCGAAAGATTGTACCACCTGTCAGAGGGAGCTCAAAGTTGGGTGTCTAAGAAGATGCATCTGCGAGCTGACCTCGGTCAGGGATGTTAGTCATCGGAATCTCCAAAGTTGCAGGCGAAAGAACCCCCGACTATTCTCCTGAAACCCTATCCGCCAAACGTGTTAACCCTCGTGGTTTGAAGGTACTTTGAAGGCTGTGCTTAGCCAGGCAGGCTTGGCCCGGCTACACAGTGACCCTGCCTGATGCAGGATGCATTCTGAAGGAATGCCAACCTGCAAGGAACCGCGAGTGGCTCGGGTCGAGGGCTCAGTGTGTCTGACTTGCGGTTTTGGGCAGGCAGTTCAGGCGGCTTCGGGCCACAATCTCGCCAGCAGGCTGCGAAACATCAGAAAGCCTTACTTGATAGACTCTCTCTGTTCTGCATCATATCTTTCTCGTGTCTGTCGCACATGTCGCACCCACCGCGTCCCTCGGTCCTACCAGATCCGTCCCAACCTTCCCACACCGACACCACTGTGTGCGTCGATCCACGGAACCAAGTAGCGGGTAAGAGGCCCAACAGGCTGACAGCCGATATCCAGCCCCCCCTCTGACTGAAGGATTCGGGGTGCTAAAAAGCGCTTTCTTCACTTCCCTTCGCCCCACCGCGGATCTAACAAACACTCCAGAGCCCTATTGAATTGGGACTTCCCCTGGCAAAAGGCACCTCTGATACAAAATGGATACAGAAAATGACATGCAGATTCGCACTCCGACATGCAGCTGAGCCTTTACAAGCCAGTCCATCACAGCCACATCCCAAAAGCCTGCACGGCTCTGCACCAAGCGTGTTTCTAAGAGAGGCTTCAACATGGCCTGCCTTGGACCATCACGCAGGCCGCTTGCGTTGGCGAGGCCTGCGCACACTACGGCTCGGCGCTAAGTCAGGGTCGTCCAAGGTGGTGGAGTCTGACATTAAGGACTAACCCAGTGATATGTTGAGACAGCGACAGGTCCTCTTCCACAACGGCCGCAGATGCCAAAGCCTTCTGCAAGGAAGATGCAAAGGCCTGAGACCGAGAAGTGCTTCCGAGGTGACGATAGCCGATCGCTGCCTGGCTCATTGCATCTGACCTGCCTCCATGTTGACGCCATATGCCTGGCGCTCAACACGACTTCGGAAACCCTTGGAAGAGCGCACAATTCTCTTCATGAGAAGGTCTCGTCTCATGCAACCACACGACTTCCGAACGACACCACGGACAAGCGCACTGAGTGCATTCGGAAAGGCTCCGTAATCCTTTTTCCCTGCGTCAGAGACGACTCTTTGGTCCGGTACCGACCTGGCCAGACCGCTTCTCCTCGGCTTCGGGGCGGAAGGAAAGTAGTCGCTGCGCTGCCCTCGTCGCTCTCCGCCGCTCCGCGCCGCTCTGCGTGGCCGCCTGAGGCCGGGGCCCAGGTCCCCTTCGGAGCTGCTGGAGCAGAGCGCAATGCCGCCACGGCCTCCCATGAAGCCGCGAGCGCCGCCGACGAACCGCTAACTTTGTTCTTTTTCGAGCGCACCTCGCCTCGGCTGATGCTATCCCCCCTTGCTTCGCATGAGCCAGGAGGGCAGTCCGACACCTGGATCAGTCTGCATCTCTTCTTGCACGAAGCCGCCATGGCCTGGTGCCTGTTCGCCATTTCCACAACGTCAGGGCTGCCGTAGGGCTGGTTCACTTCCGTGTCATTGGGCAGCTCGCCTCGCTCGCATGGCGAGAGCGGGGCGGAGGCGGAGGGCGGAGCATGGCAGAGCTACAGTAACTTGTCCGAGGACTCCGCCAGTCAAGATGTCATGAAGAAGTGATGGCAAGGCGGTTTGCCACGCCACCGCAGCATGGGCGGCGGAGGCCTCGCGAGCTGAGGCTTTTCAGCATTTTCCGCAGCGACCTCCGACCCGCACCTCGCAGAGGCCGACCAAGGCCTGAGCGACGAAGCGAGGCCTCACAATGCGGCGAAAGGGCCGCAAGGGTCGCAAGGCGCTCCGAAATGTCGCTCATAGCCTGTAGTCCACGGGCATGCCACAGAAAATCCTTCCTTCCACAACCTGCGCAAGACCGCAGGCGCTTCGCACTACGCTCCACCGCCCCATGCACGGCTGTGCGCCTGGTCAACATCGTTTCGAAAACGAGCAGAGAGCAAGCGCACCAGCCTTGCCGCTTGAACGGGCTACTGGCAGAGTGGATGGGCTGCTGTGCTGCCTGCCTGCCTTGCTGACTGGCTGACTGACTGCTTGACTGACCGTTTGAGTGACTGATTAAGCGCTTGTGGGTGCAAACACCCTCGCTAAGCCAGACCAGACTTTACGCAGCAGAGGCAAAACACACGCAGACGCCGTATGCCTCACAGCATTGGAAAGCTTCACATGTGTCATGCTCGACGAGACGAGCACGACTCAGCAAAACGCTGCTGTTGCTGCTGCATACTTAAGAAAGGAAAAGCACGCGTAGGCATTTCCTGCAAGCTCAGCGAGAGCTCGAGGCCCCCCCTTCATGTGACCGGTCGAAGAGCACCATAATTTGCCAACATCGCTGTCGAAACGTCTCGGATGAAACAAGGAAGGATGGCGCACTTCAGTTCTTCGCGAGCAGCAGCAAACCCTTGCCGATCTTGCCATAAGTTAAGTCACGCCAGCGCACAGCATGAGAAGCCTCTGTCCTCGTGCATGCCCAGTTCACCCGACGTTGCAAGAACCATTCTCGATGAAAGGGATGGAAAGGAGTCTGAGCGTGATTCAGTCATAGCTTTCCATAATGAGGTGCCATAGTGAATGCAAACGTCGTCGACGAAGAAGACCCACAGCTCACTTTCTCACGGAATGTTGGAGAAAGGGCTCGGTCTGCTCCCAGCATGTTAAGGGCTGATCGATGATGCGTCTACCTTAAGAACCCAAAACCTACTTTTTTGTAGGGTCCCTATAAATCCCCATATTAGGGTTTATAATCGGAACCTACAAAAAAGTGGGTTTTGGGTTCTTAAGGTACGACTACAAAACCGCAGCTAAGAGCCTAGGGCCTAGGGCTTGGGATGTTCTGAGCAGCATCGGGATTGAAAGCCTCCGTCTCATGTTTAACTCATCCACCATCCCCAGCCGTTCATGTCCAGGCTAACAATGACGGAAGCATCTTCTATCGGCTTACGTTGCGAGGAGTCTTTCGCCAGGCAGAGCTGGGGTTGAGGATAGCCATAGGAGGCTGTGATGCGATTGCGCAGCGTTTGTGCGAGTCTGGCGCGTGCAGGCAGAGAGAAAGCGCCTCTTCCAGGAAGGCTTGCAGCTGAGAGGCTCAGGAACCACTCTCAAAGGGACGGAGGATACCGAGGCTGAATCTTTGCCGGCAGTGCTGAGGAATCCCAGGCCTGCGGGTCATCTCTGAGTGCACAGCACAACTCGCCCCGCCTCGGTCTTCCAAATGCGGCCTATGGAAGCCATCAGGTCCAGGCGCACCTGCGCAGAGCGTCGGCAGAGCGTCGCAGGGCGGTGTCGGAGAATGTCGGAACCGGGGCAACCTGCCCGGGTCTCGATCGGTACGAGGGCCGCGTGAAAAGCGCCAGTGTCTGGACCTTCTGACAGGCCCGGCCCCGCACTTCAAAAAGGGACCACAACTAACCGGCAAGGTGCCGCTCCCCCGCGCTTCAGAAGGTGGTGCGTCTCCTGGTGCTGGGCCTCCCCAGAACTCAGAACGAAGGCTTTTTGAAGATCCTTGGAATCCCGGCTCCGCCATGGTCCCATCCCATCCCGCATCCCGCCAGGCGGATCATGGATGCAAGAGCCCAGGCCAGCAGCCACGTCTCCTCCGGGCGCTCCAAGTGGGGATTCCCGAAAATAAGGGACCCTGATATAGCACCCTAAATAGTAGGATCCCTATTATAAGGACCCCAAAATAAGGTACCCCTAATTTTTGGAAACCCCCAAGTCTGTCTGCCCGGATTGTCTTCGGATGGCAGAAGATATCCTTCTGGCGATGCAGAGCACTGCACAGTGCTGGTAGCACCTCAGCCCATCTCAAACAAGTCTCAGGTTGAAAGAGTCTCGCGATGTCTCCAAGGGCCCCGACAAATTTGCAGACGTTGGTTGCGGCTTGCGGAGTGATCGAAATAGAGCGGACCTCAGAGTTCAGGAATTCAGGGAGGCGGTGTATTCGCACAATATCAAACCATTTTCGCATTATGCCCCGCATGCGTGAACTTTGGTGGCGTGCGAGTGCTGCAGCGTGGACGGCCTCCGAATCGGCGCTTCCACCGTAAGGTTCAGGGTTCAGGGTGGTCTTAGCCTGCCTCTGGGCCAGGGCTGGACAGAGCGGAAGAAATGTCCCGAAGTATCTCTGCGTCTGTCGCGGCCTTACGCAAACAGGAGAAATGTAAAACACACCGGCAACTGAGTCTTGGAAGCTGAAGCATGCATGCGTCGACGAACTGGCCACTGCAAACGCCACCGGCACCCAAAGCAGAAGCTTAGCAGCAGCGGGGGCAACGACCACTAACACAAGACAACTCTAGCAACACCGAAGATCATCAAAACACAAGCAGCAAGGGTAAAAAGCAATACATCGTATCCCACCATCCCACCATCCCACCTTCAGCTTCAGCTTGTCTGCAAAGGTTCCTCTGATTCCCTCATCGCGGCACCTGGGGTCTTGGCTCTACGCATTATACTGGGGGAAGAAAATGGAAACCTTTAGTCTTCAGGACGCTGCCCGACGGCGGCCAGCGATTCGCGCAAGTCAGCCATGTTCGTGCGCTGCCTATGTCAATTCAGATCCACAACCGGGGTGTTCCGTGGACATGACGACAGGCCATATATACCTACTCAGGGAGCATGCCCATGGCGGCCAAAAGGACAGGCCCCGCACCGCTGTGGCGGCGCTTCATCTTGCACATCCATGGCACCAATGCTTCTCTAATGTATGATGAGTGGCAAGTGTGGCTGCGAAACCATGACAGGGGATGTCAGCACATCCATGGGCACAGCACAAGAGCTTGGAAATAGACAGCATGTCCATGAGTAAGCCGAAAAAGGCTAGCTTCACAACTTCATGAACTCCGCTTCTTGCAAGGAAGCACACGTCTTTAGCCAGTGCAAGCTCTGTGCCTCGAGTCCCTGGATCAAGGTGACGTTGTGACCACGGCGTGTGTCTGTTCTCACCTGCAGCATCACTCGAAGCTCCTAGGACAAGCCGACCTTCCAGGTAGCTCCGACAGCAAACCGTAAGACCCTAAACCTAAACCTACTAATCCTCAAAACCCGCCAAACCCAAAAAAAACACTAAACCCCGAACCCACTAAACCCTAAACCCTGAACACACTAAACCTCAATCTCGCTAAACCCCGAACCCCTTTAGGCCCTAAAGCTAGACGTGGCCACAATTCGGCAACTTCCAGCGCCTGAAGCAGAAAGTCGGGAGCTTCTTGAAAACTCAAGGCTGAAAAGAGGCCCGCCCTAAGGTTACATGTCAATGAATGCTGGCAGGCACAGCGAAATCAGTAATCTAAGGACTTTAGGAGGGACCCCTAAGAGGGACCCTTACTCCCATTATCTTAAATAACCATTGTATAGTCCTTGTATACCCCTTATATAGCCAGGTAGTCTCCTTTTTCACCCCAATAACCTACAAGGGTTCCTATGAAGGGTTCCTCCTAAAGCCCTGAGAAGTAAGGCAGCAATGGCCGCGCCAGGCCCTAAACCCGACAACCCCAAACCCACTAAAACCCTTAACCCCGAAACCCATTAAACCCTGAACCCGCTAAAAAGCAGTGAACCCTGTAAACCCTAAACACGCCGAATCCCAGACCCACTGAAACCCTGAACCCACTCAACCCTTAATCCCGAACCCATTAAACTAAACCCATGAAAGCCTGAACCCTCAACACATCAAACCCCAGACCACTGAACCCAGAAACCGCTAACCAAACCCTGTACACACGAAGCCCCAAACCTGCTAAACCCTAAACCTTGAACCCACTTAACACTAAACCCCAAACCCACGTAAACCCTGAACCCTGGACCCACGATTAAACCCTTAACCCCGAACCGATAAAACCCATTAACACTTAACCCTGAACCCTGCACCAACTGAATCCGACACCCTGAATAAACCAACCCCAAACCCACTAAACCCGCTAGACTCTTAATCGAGTAAACCTGTAATCCTGAACACAATCAACCCCAAACACGCTGAACCGCTGAACCCTACATTAAAGCCTAAACCCTGACCTAAACCATGAACATACTAAACCCGTAAGCCTGGAAGCACCAAACCCTCTAAGGCCCCTGAAACCGCAACTAGCAGGCACTGCTGGGGCGCCTGGACCGACGGGGGCTTGCCGGGCCTCACGCTCGTCTTCACACCTCCGGCAGCCCCGCCTTGCCTTTGCGAAGACGCCGAGTCGATTCGAAGAGCTACAGGGTTTAGGGTTTAGGGTTTAGGGTTAGGGTGGCTTCTTGAGATTGGCATCTGTTGAGCTGTCAACAGGATCACCCCTGCTTTCAAGACCTCCACAGCTTCTCGAAAGCATTGGGAAGCCGACGGAGCAGTCACACGATGACACAATGGAAGTGTCCTTGCGAGGGCTCACTCCAACATGGAGACAATGAAGACCATGGCTATGCAGGTGTCTTCGTTCTTCTATGGCGTGCTTCAAGACGTGTCAAGACATTCAAGACAAGACTGCCTCAGGATATTGTCTGTGACGGCGTCGGGCGACATGCTGGCAGCCGACTCCTCGTTGTTCGAAGGCAGCGGTGGCTTCAATAACGCTAGAGATGCATCTTCCATGGAAGAAGAAAGGACAGAAGCCAGACTTACGATGTAGGCAAGTCCCTGGCAACCCTCCCACTTGGCTCCCAGGTGTCCTCTGACTGCGTCTGCAGAGCAGAGTGCAGCAATGGGTCCGGGCCGATGCGCTTGCGGTTGTTTTTCAACCTGAAGGCTTCCCCAGGCTTCACAGTCGGGTCGTGCGGAAGCGCTGGTAGCGGCGGACCACAAGTCACGAGCGTCTGCATACAACTTCACTGCTTGTGAGCCTTGGCCAGAGCTTCACTGCGACGGCCCTTGCTGCGACTCAACCTGAGGGTGAGACACTCCTCCCGTGTCCAGCACTCATCGAGGGGCATCTCTGTCTTCAGCACCTGCCCGGCACCGAAGCGCAGAAGTGGGGCGGCGCAGCAGAGAATCTCACAGGAGCACCGACTTGACAGAAGGATCCTGGAGCCCGAAGTGCTCCTGCTACACAAGAACCCCTTCGGGCCTCCAGTATGGGCTTCAGCTTCACTATCTTCCACACCAGCTCAATCTGAAGGCAGCCAGAACATCGAGCAAAAATTGCACATCGGAATGACAGCGCCTGGATGGCTGCAGACGGGCAGTTCGCATCTTTTCCTGGCAACCGTGTCAAGTGATGTCCAAAGCAAGAGTTTCCCGTAACCCATCCTGCAGCTTCTGCCGGCGCTTCGTCAGCTTCTGCCGTGACCTCCAGGACAGAGATTTCGTGTCCCCGGGCTCGAAGACATGCCTCTTTAAGGCCGCCACATGCTTTGGCCACGGCTTCCATTCCCGGATGTCCGGGTGGTCGCGGAAAATCCTTCGAGTTCGTGTCACCCTATACCCCAGCCATTTAGTAAGTTGGTTTTGCTTATGTTGGTTATGATGTATTTTGTGGATCTCGTTTGTTGGTGTACAGGTTTTTTACTAATGAGAAAGGCTATAGACTCTATAGACAGTGCAAGCAGAACAGCATATCGCACAATGGCAACAAAGGCTTCCTGCATGCCGCCGCCATAGGCAACTCCTGTGTAAAAAACCACACATCGAAGCAAGAATGCGAACTAGAGCCAACATAAAAAAAATAAGTAGGCTGGCGGATGTCGGGATGGTCGCGGAAAGTCATTCGACGATACGACTCACCTAAACTTGCAGGCCCTACATTATGTCTCTACGTTGACATGCCCTGCCAGACAGCGCAGCCAACTTATCTGCAAATGTTGGCCAGGCAGCCACCGAGGTTTGGTGAGACTACCCCCAGCTAAGTCTCCGTCTGCCCCATGTCCAGCTTGGCCATGCCTGGCCGCCTAGTCATGGCAAGCATCCCGTCCTCGTCATCACAGGATCTGATGACTTCTTCATGGCAATCCATCCCAGCTCCTGGATCGCACCGCGAGTACAGCAGGTACTGCTTGTGCTGTGCTGCCCCGGATGACCATGAAACTGGATGAGCACACCAGACTGATTCCTGCATTCATGCGATGAAGATGGTTGGTGTGGATGGCTGTGGTGATGGTGGTGGTGATGAGGCATTTCTTGCAAGCTGTGTCGTGCACTGTCAGGGCCGCCCAGGGCGTTTCACCCGAAGCGTTCCAAACGGCGCAGGCACGAGCCACAAGCGAGGCCCGACGACGCGAACGCGCCAGAATGCTACAGTTTTGCCCAGGGCACAGTAGGGCAAGTCAGGAGCACGGCGAGCAGCTGTCGAGAAGCTTAGCATCTGCAGGAGCAAAAGGGAGACTCAACCCGTCAAGTCCTCGGCGTGGGCAAGAAATGCACCGAGCTTCTTGAAAGAACTAACCTGAGAGATTGAGGCAATCGCTGAGGGTCAAGAGAAGTTTGAAACCTTTCTGGGGGAAGGCCTTGACATCGATGTTGGATCCGGCCCTCCTATCGAGGCAACTCAGGGTTTCGAGGTTCTCTACGAGGTTCCTTATAGGCTCCATAAAGTCGTTCCTGCAGGGTCGCATGTGCTGCGTGTACACCACGTTGCCAGCCATGGGCCTCGCTCTGCCAACGCGTACAGCCGTGCTGTTCTGAGCCAGTATCGTATGTTTCGAACCACCAAGGCAACTGCAAGTCCCGATCCTTGATGCGAGTCTTGATGGCCTTCTCGCATCAAAACTTTCGAAACAAGCTGCTTGACTAACCGCAGGAGAGATTTTCACTTATACGGCCGATAGCGAATTGGGCATGTTTTAATTCGGGTCTGGCAGGGCTTCTGGAAAGGTCGTCTCTCACAATGCATCTTTTTCTCTCAAGACTGACGGCCTGCAGCAAGGTCTCTTCGAGTGACTTGTCCATGTCAGGTCCAGCTTGGGCCCCGGACCTCAAAACGAACCGATCACAGCTCATTGCCAGGTCACGATCATCCGTGCTCGTCTTAAAGCTCCAAGCAAGTCTAGGAGACTTTTCCTAAACCCTAAACCCTAAACCCTAAACCCTAAACCCTGAACGGGGGGCTTTCGGGATCCTTCGGGGCCCAAGGCCGGAGCTCTTCGGAGTCCTTGGCGGCGTCCCTGAACGGGAGATGAGATGTAAGGCCCCGCTTTTGCGTGCTGCAGGGCCGAGGCCGGAACACCTCCGTCGTCGGAGGATATCCCGCTTCTGCCGGTGCCGAAGCCTGCAGATTCGGCCAGGCCAGGCATGGCTATAGGGCTATAATCACTATAATCGCCACAGTAACTTAGCGACAACAATCACAATCACAATCCCGAAAATAATCACGGAAAGGATTACTGCCCCAAGCAGTCCCAACGATAGAGCTAGCTCCAGCCCCCATTGCCTCCACCTCCTTCGCCTCAGTAGGCTGGATCTCGGCACCTGTTTCACGCGGCACACGAACATTAACGCACGAGAAACACATCCAGCAGCCCGGCGCCCGTCCCGCTACTGCGCCTACAAAGCCATCTGGCCGTGGGCTTCCCATTGCCTGGAGGACCCGAAGCCGTGGCGGTACGACACAGGACGATGGCTACAGTGGCTACAATGATGATAACAGTAGTCGTGGCTGGGAGAACAGTAATGATACTGACAAAAACAACAGAAGCAGCTGCATACAGCTGCAGCGACAATTAGAGTGATGAGAGTCATGATTCTCGTAAAAATCACCTCAGCGGCAGCAATGACGACGACAAGAGTTACTACAAGAGGATACCGAATATGAAGACAACACTTCTCGCTTTTATTACTAGCAGGACAAATTAGTTCGTGACTGTGGTCATAGTCATCCTGCTGGTCGTCGTGATTGTCGTAATCGTTGTGGTCGTCGTCATGGTCCGGGCCGTGGTCGTCGTCTTGGTCGTCGTCGTTGTTGCTGCTCTTGATGTTGCTAATGCCGGTGCCGGTACCGGTGCAGTTGCCATTGCCGGTGCTGTTGCTGTTGCTGCAGCTCTTGATGTTGCTGTTGCTGAAGCTCTTCATGTTGCTGATGTTATCGTTGCTGTTGTTGTTGTGGCTGTTGTCGTTATTGTTATGACCAGTGTCTTTGTTATTGTTATTGCTCTTGGTGTTGCTGTTGCTGTTGCTGTTGCTGTCGCTGTTGCTGTCGCTGTTGCTGTTGCTGTCTCCGTTGTTGTTGCTGTTGCTGTTGCGGAGGCTGTGGTGCTCTGCTTTTTGCGTTTGATTTTGTCGTGGCACTATGGCACTATCAGTTCATAATACCAATAGCATTCAGCGCCGGGTGCAGCTATGATACTGGTGGCAAAGAAGGCTACTTTCAATGCAGATACGAACGCCCATGGCAGCAACAATACTCATCAGCATGACAAATCTGCGGCAACGGCAAAAGCAAACAAGATTGACAATAGCAGAGACACGAACCCAGAGTCTGAGAAGGGTGTGGGTGTCTACAGCCTCTACTAGATTACTAGAATAGTAGAAAGTGCTAAACAACTTGAAGGCACGATCTACTTCGCCCAGGAAAGTAGTATAAACACAAATGAAGTGATGCCACAACACTGATTCCGTATCGTCGTCTTTTCGAACTTGTCCGAAGAATCAGCTGTTTTCAAGAGTAACTGAACGAATCGAACACAACCAAAGCTGGGGGCTGATAGACGACCCGGGCTGAAGACGACGCGTCCTTGAGCTAAAGGACGAGTCATTGGATAACTCCTTCTTGTATTGCTTGCAAATTAAATACATGTTTTCAGCAAAAACAGACCTGCAAACACCACCGCTACTAGTACAATGTGACAACGATGGAATCTCCTATCTAAAGCGGAACTATGCCTCTGCATGCCTTGCTTCAACAAAATGCGGGGACGTTTGATACGAACACTAATGACCAGAGGCATAGCAACCCGGAAGAAAAGAAGTGGCAATGACAGCTGTATCACAATGCATCAAGATTTTGCTTGCCCATGTTCTTAGTTTTTGTCTTCTGGTAACCATAGCAGTCATAACAGCAGTTATAGTAGCCACCATCACAACATTAGGAATAAAGCAAAAACAATCATAATGACACGTGGGTTGATTATCTTACCACAGTAATACCTTCTCAATGGCTCCGTATAATCGTAACTGTTGTGCTTAGTTGGCACATGTTGCAAAACTCAGCAGCGGCCTCCCACAAAGCATCGCCGAAGTAATGCAGGACTTCGACGGCTTCGCCCCTTCCCAAAAATATTGCTGAACCCTGCTGTCTACGAAGTATTTGTCGATCTGCTTTCCGCTTTCCCCGCATCTCTCTCATCTAGACCCAACATCGTGCGCATCCCGAAAACCTTTCCATCTTGCAGCGTGGATGGAATCGTCTCAAATAAGCCCACGGCTTGGTTCCAGCACCTACTGCTGCAGCTGGTAGTCGCAGTCGACCCACTGCGCAAGCAGCAGGATTTCCTGAGAGAGCCCCATCAAGTGTCCAATCCCAACAGATCACATCCACTCATGCCTTCCGCACGCACAGCAACGAGGTTGCCCTCTCTGGGCAGCACCTCACCTCGAGGCAAGGCATCGTCAGCGCGAAGCAATCACGCTCCAGCTGACGCCGCGGCTTCCTTCAGCAGGCACTATGCGTAGAATGCCAGGAGCCTCACGAGACGGCTCAAAAAGACCATGACAAGATCCACCCCCGCTGAAATGCTTCCGAAGGCTGCGAGATCAAGACCGACTCTGAAGCGCAGGAGCGCCACCATCACGTTGGCCCCTCCAAAGACGAACTTGGAGACCGGCCTTGCGGAAGAGCTGTAAATCTACAAAGCCACACTGAGAAGATCGATCAACAACGTGGTCAACGACTGTAGTAGCAATTGACTCAAAGTGCTAGTGTTTACTTACAGCAGATCACTACCGGTACTGCTATGCTGATAATCTCTTGCCATCACCGCATCTGCTACTGGCAGTACTATTACGATTATGACCTGTCCCGACTAGCACCACGGCTACTACGATGATTAAGCTGGCGATTATCTCCACTTGTGGTTGTGGTTAGACGTACCACGAGCACACGTACCAGCACGAATACTGGTGCTAGTACAAGCATTACAGCTACCAGTAGCACTGGTATTTATCCTAGAACTAGGCACTCACATCAAGCTTAAATGATACAAGCGACATCAAGCGACTTCAAGCAGTAGCATTCTGATCATCGTGGGTTGTCGTCGTCGTCCTCGCAGTCGTAGTAGTTGTTCTTGCTTATGGCTTTCGGCCTCGCAGCAGTAGCAGTAATGGTGGCGGTGGTGAGCAGCAGCAGCGGCAGCAGCAGAAAAACTGGACTAGGCTTAGGAGGCGTCGTCGTCATGAGTCGTCATCGACACATCAGGGTCATCCACGTGACAAAACACACCATCCGTACAGTGGATAGTAACGGCATCAACCAAAAGAATACTAGCGTGAACTTGACAGCCTCTGGATGATTGCAGAAGGAAGCCATGACTCAGCAGAGGGGACCTCTGCAGCGTCTGCGAGGTCTACACAGAAAGGAGAAGCTGACACAGCCAGGGCCAGCCTTCCAGAGCGCCACGAGGCTTGGCATAAGCTCTCCCTGGCACGATCTCGGGCAGAAAGTGCGCAACGACACCCCGCGATGGAGAGAACACACGTGAGTTCAGACACTGTCACGAAGCCACCTGTCCAAGATCAGCCTTCCCATCAAGCTGCACCTGGGCAGGTGAGAGAAGCCTGTGACGAACGTGGCGCGCTACTCCCGTCAGTTTGCCAACACATTTCAGCGCCAAGGCCACAGTGAGTTCCTCAACCCGAGCAACACGAGTTCGCTTCAGAGGTCCGTGCCAGCACACACTGGTCGCCTGCGAAGACGAACTGGAGCGTGCTTCCTCCACCCGCCTGCAATACTCTGCATGAAGTCTTTCAGCACTACTCACCATAAATCCAACGGCCCGTCCTTCCTCACCACGATCTCCACCTTGTTCGGCAGGATCACCTCGCAGGCTCGGCGCTGCTTTTTTCAACCCAGGGAACAACCGGGAACAAATCCGGGCTGACCTCAGCCACAGCCTCGCCCGCCGAAGCCGCCAAGGCCTGCCCAGAGGCCAAAAAGGGGAAAAAGATTCCCGATTGCCAGAATCATAAAGTAGGGGCCTTAATACTTTGAATAGGGTTNNGGGGGGGGGGGTATATTATACTAGAACTCTAATAAGGAAGTACGACATGTGTCGACATGTCCCCAACATCATCTTGGCATTTCCTGGGTCAATCCTTCGACCGCACAGCTTGTTCATCCTTCGGTTCAACGGTTTGGGATATGCTTCAAGCCCGAGTCGCTCCTTAGCACCTGAAACGGACCGAGACGCTCCACAACACCCTGCACCCGCACACTATCTGATCGCCCAACCTGAAGAAGGAAGAGCATGTTGTTTTAACTTTCTCGCTGACCTGTACTGCCTGACCGGCACATCAGGCCGCCTTGGAGAGGGCCTTCGTCTCCTTGCCACGAATCCTCGCCGTGAGGGCACTGAAGACTTGAGCACTACCGCCCACACACTCGCTCCTCACTTCGCCCTTGAAGGCCACTGTGGAGGATTTCTTGAACATGGCTTGGAACAGCCTGGCGTAAATCACAGGATGCGGGTCCTGTCTCTCTCTCTCTTGGACCGTGGCTGCGGCCCGGACCTCCACCGGGCTCATGGCTGGGACAGAGATGCAGACATGTGACCGCAGCCTGTGTCCCTACACAGTGACCGTCCTTCAGAGTATGTCTGTGTGGGTGTGCGTAGTGCGCACGCCAGCGTCTACAATGACAGCTGTAGGCGGCGCATTGAAGTAGGGCCCTCGAAAGTAGAACTTGCAGGTGAAGGTGAGGCAGAAACACGTCTCACTCACGAAGCCACACTGGCTGCGACCGTTCGGAGGCAATGCTGAAGTCGTCACTTTGAGTGCCCAAAGTTGCCTGGTCAAGCACTTCGCTCGCGACCGGGGCACAGAACAGCCCCTTCTTTCCTCTTGCCGTTGCTCTTGGAATACAGAATTCACAGGACTCTGGCTATGTGCCGCTCCGCTCCTTCGGACAAGCCCGAATCCGCACCCAGCTTCATCGCTCAGATCTGGATCATGATCTGGAAGTGAGAGTCCTCGGAGATGGAACAAGGGAAATGTGAACGCAGTCGCACCGGCTCATAGCTCGAACTCAGCTTTCAAGAAACTCTGCTAGATACGACTGGTAGTAGCGGCTGGCATACGTATCTCACACGTGCTGCAGTGAGTCTTCAACCTCCATGCGAAACGGGCCCAGGTCGAGGTTCCTGCAGCCCCATGAACAGGACCCACACACACAGACAGGGGAATCCCATTCCTCAAACAGGTCCCTGCAGAGCACCGACTGTCTCTCCTACCACAGGTCGCCAGAAAAAAAAAAAAAAGCATAGCCGCGACGTACCCGCACCTGCTCGAGAGCTCCATGGACGGCTGCCACGTAAAGGGGCAGTACAGGACGATCTCCAGGAGCGGACCCATGCTACCTCGGGCATGGTTCAAAACTGCTGCAAGTCACGACATCCGCTTTTGCTAGCTGCATCTTTCCAAGAAAGTCAGTTGCTGGCCGTGATTCTGCTGCGAGGCTTACTTCCACCGTCGAGCGCCTTGCCATAGGATGCATGCGTGCGCGTGCATGTGCATACACATGTGCGGGTGCGCACGTCCAAAGTGATAAAACCCCGTCGTGGGCAGCTTTGTTCACATTCATTCACCCTCCATATCATTATCGAGCGGCCCAATTCCGCATCTGGTGCCAGGAGGCAGACACCTCATTTTGTTTTGTACGCCCTTCTTCGTGTCCGGCATGCATGGTACCAAACTATTCACTTCATTTTCGCTGCCATCCTCAACAAAATCATCTCATTCTCAGGCGATCAACCGTACGAGCGCACTCACCACGGCTTTCAGCTTGCCGATCTGATGTTTCGATTTTGTTTCGAAGCAGCCTCTCAGCGCTCTATTCTGACACAGTCATGGAGAAGGTTTTGGCGAGCACAGTTGCTGGATGATCCTGAGATCTGTGGTGATGGCAACTCGTAGCGCGGCGTGTACACAGGACGCCTTATGTTTCTACAGGGAGCGCAAAATGTGCTCTTCGTGACGGACCATTGCTGACTGGCCCTGTGCAGAAGCACGCACACTTCACCCCTTGCTGGGATGCTGTAATGTAGGGGCCTGAATAATTAGAAAAGGGTTTTGGGGCATACTATACTATATTAGGATAAGGAACCCCTTGAAAATAGTATTGGTAATTATTTAGGCCCCTATAGTAATTGGGGGACGCTCCATGTTCATCTGCTTGCGCATGGGCAAGAGGGAAGGAGAGGGAGCCCCGGCCAACTAAGCTCCCCTACCCCACCTAGGTAACATACCTGCATCAGCATCCCCTGCCGGCCCTAAGAACAAGTTAAGGCAGAAGGGGAACTTTATGACTTTCCTGAAATATGTATCTATGTATGTATGTATGTATGTATGTATGTATGTATGTATGGAAATGTATGCATGTATGCATGTATGCATGTATGCATGTATGCATGTATGCATGCATGCATGCATGTATGTATGTATGTATGTATGTATGTATGTATGAATGTTGTTATATGTATGTACTTGTATATATTGTCATATTACGTATGTGTACATGTATGTCTACATATACATAAAATATGTGTAAGTATATATACATAAGAAAGAAAAGGGCAAGAAAGGAAATCAAGAGCGCAAGCAAGAACGTAAGCTAGCTTGCGAGAAAGACAGTAAGCCTGCATGCATGATGCATGTACCGATGTATGCACTGGCTGGCTGGCTGGCTGGATGGATGGACGGCTGGATGGATGTCTTTTGAGTGTGACTTTGCATGTACGAGAGCAAAAGCATTCGTTTAAGCAATGGTGACTGTGAGCGCACGTGTACATGTCAGGCAAGAAGGTCGGCAAGTAAGCGAGTACATGAATATGCCTGCGCAACCCGACGAAAGTGCATGGTTATGCGTACGTACACATAAAATATCATGCACAACATGAATTGACAAATTAAAAAGTACTACGAGTAGGTACACATACATATATGGGAATGCGGATGCATATTGATGTCTGTTTTCTCATGTCCGCCGCAATGCTGGCGAACTAGCATGCCAAATAGCCAGCTTGTTCTTCTCCTGCTCTTCCTTCGTCTTGTGGCTAGCACGAGAAACTGCTGTTTTCGCAACCGCGTCAGCTACCCTAAACATGTGTGGGTACATGCGACACTGTTGTCTCCGTGTCAGTCTATTCGCTGTCGGTCATTCTGTCTGACTCTTTCACCATGAACGACTGCATGTGCACATATAATATAATATAATATA